ACTCTTACTCTCTCCGTCCTAAAATAAATACTCATCAGCACTTCGAAGAGACAATCGATCTTAATTTTGACAAAATATATACGAGAAAATACTAATTTTTATGATGTGAGATAAATATCATTAGGTTACATATATTTTAAAGGTAAACCTATTTAGAAATATAATTGTTATACTATATTTTAACAATACTATGTTTTTATAAATCTAGTTAAACTTTAGATTGGTTGATTTCTCTGAGATGAGCAATTATTTTAAAACGGAAGGAGTACAATATATCATCAATGTTTTAAAAATAGTTTGTATTAAAAGATACGTGGAATATGAATATGCTTATATGACTTTTTTATGTAGAAAATACGTATATAATTTGAGTGATTGTCGGTCAAGATCCATGAAGTTGGACTTTACTTAATGCGAATAAATCCTATATTTGGAACGGAAGGAGTAAAAGCAAAATCACATGCACTTTTGCTCACATTGTTTTATTCCAACTCTCACAAGATATTTATCCATTTGGTTCTTCTCACATGTCCATGATTCTTCCTATGTACCCTTACAACATGAATCACGATGAAAATAAATAGCCTCAATGTACTCGTGAAAATATTACCTTGTTCTCAGTTTACGCTCATGCACTTCTACATAGTAAGACATAAATGCACGAAGCAAATATGCAAGATTGTTCTGTTTGGTGCGCAGCCGAAGACATCAATTATGCAAGAAGCTTTTTACAATCCTAACCACAAAGTTTAAAAATTACAATTTAAGTTCGCTACCAAAATTTTGGTATCAAACATATTACATATACCAACGTCGTCAATTTTTTGTATCATCATGTTTTAATCAGTGCTACCTCTTGGGTTTCATGTTTTTACTCATTGGTACTTCGTTCGTTTCCAATGATGGTTGAAGACTCGTTTTGCAAATCAAAACTAACTTTTTGGAACAACCTCTGTTTTTCGAGAGGAAATACAGTAGTTGGCTGGTACAGTTTAATTTCCAAGAATTACACTGGTCAAGTTGATAAACGCTGTTTGAGACATTGGGAACTGGAATATACATTGGGCGACGTTAACAAGTAACCAAACATGTGCCATGAAGCGCATCACCAATTCACCGTTGATGGCATTCAAAAAAAATCACCGTTGATGGTCCAAACTCTCTTACATATACTCTGTAATACCATGAGCAGCAAATATACATTCCGCCTAGACCCGACAACGTTATCTAAGCTTGTAATCTGTCATCGCCATCGGTCAAGCTAGATGTTCCATTCCTCAGCTCCCAGTTTGAGCAATCAAAGCAGCTCAGTTCAGCCATTCTTCTTTGTGATGCTGTGTTCACCGTCCTCATGTTTCGGAGAGTCAGTTCCACTGTAGAAGGAGGCCTCACTTGAGGCGTCCGAGTCTGCGCCATTAGCCTCCTTCTCAGCTGATTCAAGCAAGCTATTGGTTGAACTGTGCAACGATCCCATCTTCTTGTCGTCCTCCTGCATTTGCTCTGCATAGCTGTTGTACTCGAATGTCGCTGGGTTCTTTCCCCCGAATGCCGAGTCGAGCTCCTCCATGTCAAAGACTTCTGCCATTATCTTCTGGCTCTCCTTGTCGTTGGAGTACACAAACTTGACCTTCTTGCGGGTCTCATGGTCCAGGAACGGCTTCACTATCTGTCAGTAGTAATTATGGTTAGACTGGTTACTGTTTCAACCAATGGAATAACTTATGTAGCTAAGTAGAAAAGGGGTGAAAGCAGTGCAAAATGGTAATAATGGCGAGGGATTGGATATTGCTGCCCTATCCACAACATGATCCATACAGTGCATTTTCAGTGAGCATCTGTTGCGTTTCAGATAGTTTAATTTCCATGATTTGGGTCCCGGTCTTGGTAGCAGTAGAGTGCACAACACATCATGGAACACAGATGAAAGGATCATAACATTTGAATTTTAATAGTTCAAATTCATTAAGAATGGTATTACCAAATTTAATTATTTGACAAACAAATCTAAGTAAAGAATGGAAGCACAATAAATAGTTGATCAAATTCCATCAGTATGGGCCTATTTAACACAACATCATGGTAGGCTGGTAGCAATCACTCCTACACTGATGCACCCTGTGCAAATGGCAGAAACAGAAGAAATACTGGTTCTCAAGTGAACAAAAAAAAGTCAGTTGTGGTCACCTTCCAGAATGATTCAAATATCCTAGGAGGGTTGTAAAGGATTGCAAGCCCCAACCTCTCAGGATAACAGTCTTGCAAGACATTGACAGTCTCACGGGTCACCTTCAGTGGTGTGCTTCCCAATGTCCAGCTCTGGAAATCTGTCAGCCACACCATTTTCTCTTGATCTTCAGGCAGGTTCATAATTGCTTTCTCCAGAGAGTAGACTAGATATTTGATCTGTCCTGTTGCTGAGGTAGTGTTCTGCCACATTTCAAAAAGACCAAACATACAAGTTTTAAAAAATAGATGTTTCACATTTGATCAACAATCTTTTGAAGCCTAGACTGCATGATGATATTGGTTCATCAAATCAATATCAAACACCTTACATATGTAATAATCCTCAAAGTAAACTAACACCATACAAATTCAGTAGTTCAAACTGCATTGGTAATTTGGAATTAGGAAACGCAAGATTTTCAACAAAAGATTGTCAAGGTAACTAAGGGAAAATAGAGAGAAGTATTGAAGGTATTTAATGCATAGCTTGAAATTCACCTTCTGTTTCTCCTAATAGTTTGATTTTAAATTAGGATCATAAAGGTTGATTGATCATGTGTTTCACATTGGTTGTTCAATATACTCATATTGGCAGGCTTAGCACTTTGCAAGATAACATGCCTATGGTTATTTCTAGATGTTCTTTCTAACTAGATCATATGATTAAATTCTAATTCTAATCTCCAAGCATGTTAGATGACAGGCATATCTAATGCAGAACCATACAGAACACCTCTGCAAGACCAACAAAAATCTCAATAATCTGAGGATGTTTACTCAATTATTTCCAGAAAATTAATCTCTAGTATCTAAACTAACCTCTAAGCCAGGCCTCAATACAAGAACAGTTCTGCCATGTTTGTCCCTATAGTCTGCCCTATATATCTTTCCAGTTTCCGCTTCCTCTGCAATATCATCCTGAAGGAGGAGAAATGATGAAACAAGCTTATTATATGTTGTTTAACTGCAAATATGAGATACTTTGTAAAAACAAATACAAGCTGCTTTTGAGCTACAAGTTGTTCACCCCAATCAATTAAAACAATATCCTTAAATTAGCATCCTGATTATTCCTCCTATACTGAACTTTCAGATAGCTTGTAGGTTAGAACATTAGAGGGGGATACAAGGAGAAGACTTTCCCATAGCTTTACCCTAGCAGAGGGGAATGCTGTACCTTTTAGGGAACCAGAGGATCTACCAACTGAGCTACAAGGACCCCCTGCCTGGCTACTTCTCACTAAAGTTTGAATGTATTGATCTATGTACTTCCTGTAATCATGTTATCTTTAATTAAACCCAACATACCCAGCAGATGTTTTCAGGTTTCAATGCAAGCCGCCACTTCATAGCTGCTTTCATCATTTTACTAGCTTTCTGCACATTCCAGTTCCTTGCTCGAAGAAATCTTGCTAATGAGGCATCTGAAAGGAAGTCTTGAATGGCTGCTGATGAGTGCTCACCAAGCTCCTTGCGTAGTTCATTTATCTGCTCACAGAGTCACAGTGCAGCAAGTTAATACTTACTAGAAAGCACATAGCTAAAATCCAGCAGAGATGTCTAGGCAAGGTTGATCTTACTTTTTCTTGCTGTTCTTCTTGGGGCAGGGTTTTTTCAGTGGTACCACCATTGCTAGACTTGAATAGAAAGGACATTACAGTACCTTGAACGAGGCAGCTCCACTAGATAACTGCAACCGTGCATAAATGCTATTAGAAGAAGAATGAACATACATAAATTAATTTCAATCGGCAACTTTGTGCAAAAAGTAGCAAAAGAAAAGTTAACAGAATAGCATACTGAAAAATTAACAGCTTAATTAAGAGGGTGCGGCAAATATTCAGGTAAATACCTGAGGTTAACAAGAGCTCAGCTTTTATTGTCCAACAGAAGTTAAATTAGTCCATCCAGTCACAAGAAGCAGTAATTTAAAGTAGACATACTGACATAGATACAGTGCCATAAACACAAGTTTGGACAATGAATTGTACCAAATTATATGTTTCAGACTTCAAAAGTTACGATAGTATGATTTCTCCAAAATGATCTATGCAGACCATTTTAGCATCACAAACACAAACACATAAAGAGACTGAAATTCTGCAATTGAACATAAAACTGGTTGACTGCAGTCTCTGGAATAACACTTCTTCATAATAGCAGGGAGTTTGGGAGCATGAAAGTTTTCTGTTACAATGGCAAGTGTGTATTTCGATCTGTAGAGTTTTGTGATATCACTGTTCGGCCTGGAAGGTCTGTAATAGGCCTGTAGAACTTTACTATGCTTTCGCAAACTGGTCGGTTTTAAACGTTTAGCTCCTGGGGACTATCTGACTCTGAGGCAGAGTGCAGATATGCTGGAGGTAGTAGCCTGTTTTCTTTCTGCTCTTCTGCTACATCAGAATGGAAATGGGGCTAGCCTCGTGTGGGGAAAAGAAAAAGTGTGCATTTCCTTCTTACTAGCCTGAATGGAAATGGGGATAGCTTCGTGTGGGAAAAAAAAGTGTGCATTTCCTTCTTACTGGAGCGTTATGAATGCCATATTCTGAGTATAAAGGTCATATGAACAGGCATCCTGGTCATGGCCTCGGTGCGAACAAAACAAAATAATCGAGGAATAATAACTGCAGATAGTGGCTTCCATCTGATGATCGATTCAATGGCAAGAATGGGCCATCAAACATCAAAATCTCCGAAAAGGAGGGGGGTGCCGTCATTGGATAAGGCAGGCCGGCAGGCCACTACATTCCGAGATCTCCTACATTCCAGTCACCATGACATATGGGAGTGGACTGACAGAGCAGCAGCCATCACGATGCGACGATATCAAAATCGTAACACGGCAGGCAGGGGTACTGGAATTCGGCCGAGGTACAAGCTGTTAACCCTCGCACGAGGCAGGATTGGATCTGGAAGCGCTTCACACCGCCAGGTCGAGATCAAGTTGACGCAACGCGGTACCACCAGCGTGCAGCTCCGATCTCCCGGGAGCCAGCACGACCGGCGAGAACCACCGGAGCTGGAGGAGGAGGAACGGATCGAAGCCTCGCCCCACCCCACCTCACCTCACATCCACGAAGAACCCAACCCCAAGCGATCTGCCAAGGAACAAGTAAAGCAGCTGGGAGCAGGAATCTAATCTCACCCGCCAAACACGGCGCCCAAACCCCCGACCCGACAACAACCGGGAATTCGCAGTGGCCGGACCCAGATCGCCGAGAACTGCGAGGCGAGGCGGCACGAAGGAAGGGAGAGGGGCACGCACGCACGCACCTGGTTCGTCTCCGCTCCGCCGCCCGCGTTCGTGGGAGTGGGAGTGGGAGTGGCGGCTCCCGTAGTGACGGAAATGTAGCAGTTGAGGCTCTGGTCTCTGGTGGGGTTGGGAGTGGAAGTGTGGACCAGGGGTGGGGTGGGGGAGGGCGACTGGAATGCGCGGGCGGGGGCGGTGGAAAGGAATCGGGGCAAAAGGGCGTGGAAAAGAAAAGAAAACGAATAGTTCTCGGCGTGCGAGACGGGTGGGAGGTCGCCGCCCCGGCGCGTGGAGGTGGGAGGAATGCGCTGGTGCTGCCGTGCCACCGCCCACCGGGTCTGTTGGCGCGTCAGGTGTCACCGCTGACGCTCACGCTCACGCGGCGATGCTGCCGCGCGGCGACCGGCATCTTCTTCTTTGGCCGTGCACTGGGGGCCAGGGTATGTGGACGTGGTTCAATATTTTGCCATTCATCAACTAACTACTACTGATGTGCCCCGAGCAATACCAAGATATTTTTTGCGAGGAGATCAAGAGATTTTCAGCGCGGAGGTAGTCAATAGCAAAGGGAGGCCGCACGCCTCAATTTGATTTTTTTTCCCAACAAAAAACAGTGTGACGTACACTCACTGAAACACCGAACACGTTTACATATAATGTCAGCGCTTTCGAGAGATTGAACTGAACTGATACAACATATATGTGTCTAATGATAATGGAGATGTTTATATTCCATATACTCCCATCCGTTTAAAATATAAACATTTCTATATTTGTTTTAAGTCAAACCATTTTAAATATGATCTACTTTATGCGAAAAAAATAGTAATATCTATAATCTCAAATGATCATCACTATATTTTTTTAATAAAAATTATTTTCACTGTGAACATCTATGTTAATAATCCTTTTTGTAAATTTGATAAAAAACTTAGAGCAATCCGACTAAGGACACAACCAAAAAATATTTATATTTTCGGAATGGAGAGTATAGCATATGTTTTTACGAACAATGGAACAACGAAGGACCAAACAATATCCTAGTTGTTGGCAGAAATCATTGTAACCACACCAATGCCGATAAGATCTCATATTCTCATATTTCAAATCATGTTCCCTTGGTGCATATTGATGTAGCTATTTTCTTTTTAATAATAGACGATGTACCTTGTTAATAGTGAGACTTTATCAATGCTACTGTTTACTGTTCCAAAATCTGATTCACCTTTCTAGCTATATTTGCTTGCAAACATCAAGTCTGGTTTTCAAAAAAGATGAATACACAAAAATGATGTTAAACCAACCTATGATATTCATGAACCCGTTTGTCATTGTATTATGGGAAACGGGCTAGAATTAGGCTCCCCAAGTTTCTAGTTTACCATTCAACTATTGCTCGTTTTTGGCCTTGCAATCCTAAAATTAGAAATCTGATCACTGAACTGTCAGTATTGGACAAATTTAGACATCTAGCTGGTTTCAAAATCGATTTTGTATCTTCTGAAAATAATTTTTAAATCAGTTTGTTTATAAAAGCTCATAATTAATTCAATTTTGAATTAATAAAAATACTTAAACTATTATGAGAAGTTTTCTGAAAGTATACCCTTTCTATTTGTGCTCTACTTGAAGTTACTGGATCTTATTTCTAGCCGTTCATAGTGTTTTATTGCATACAGTCATGCGGGTTATTTATAAAATCATCATTCTATACTATATTAAACCGAGAGATCAACCAGAGAAAATAAATACTCAAAATGGAATACCAAATATGTTGGAGTTAAATAAATTAAATTCCTTTGGGAGGCCTACTGATGTCATATTATTTGCAATGGCTAATTGTTTTCTATATGTGGTGGAGCATGGCCTTTGCGAGATTGTTATTGTTTTCCATATCTTCTATTTACTCATTGAAAGGATCAGGATGCCCAAAAGGGAGGTGAATTGGGCTAATTCTAAAATTCTTTGCAATAATTAAAACCTACACTTAGCCCACTTCACATCTTATGCCTAGAATGTGTTCCTATTGATCTACCGCACATAAGTTTAGCAACCTAAGTTTCAATCCTACTATAGCATGACAATTCTAGGAACGTAAAGAGAAAAATTGAATTGCTCAAATGTAAATGCTTAAAGTAAAGAGAGGAGAAGGAACGCGGCGATGTTTTGCCGAGGTATCGGAGAGTCGTCACTCCCCACTAGTCCTCGTTGGAGCACCACAACTGAGCACTGTTAGCAAGGGTGTAGCTCCCCTTGATCCACAATCATATGTGAAGGATCAAATTGCTCTCTTTGGATGATTCTTCGACACTAATCCTCTAAACTCACCTGAATCGCCCACAACCGCTCACAAAAAACAAAGTCCTAAACTTGAGTTGGATCATCCACAAGCTCCGCCATCCATGATCACCAAACTCCCAATCACCACCAAACCGTCTAGGTGATGGCGATCACCAAGAATAACAAGCACGAACTCTCACTTGACCACAACAAGCCTAATGAGAAGGGTGGATGCACACTTGCTACTCTCCTTGCACTAATAAGGCCTTAATCTTGGATTCTCAAATCTCAATCATCTCACTAGGCTCTTGCTCTTTTTGACACTCTCAAGGTGTTTTTCAGCTGATCAAATGAATAAGAGACCTCCCTTGGATGAATAGAGAAAGTATTTATACCCCAAAAATCATTCAAAAGCGAACCGTTAGGAGGTTGAGTCAATATCTCTGCATACTGAATCCCTCTCGCCTTTGGCGGTCAAGGTGACCGGACGCTCTAGTCAGTTGTCCCACCCTAAAGAGCCATTAAGTTGTGACCGACTCGACTGCTTTGAAGTCAAGACCGATCGGACGATCCGGTCATGAAAAGGTTGCTCTCTAGAACCTTCATCGATGTTGACCGGATGTTGGAACCTAGAGTTCGGTCATCATCACCAAGGCTCCTCTGACTAGGGTGTCGGCCAAGAATCGGAGCTCTCGACCAAAGATTCGGTCAACATGTGACCGGACGCGTCATCGGATCAGAATCTCCTCTCTCTCTAAGTTGGCCGGACTCGCACCCAAAGTCGGTCACTTTTCACTCGGCTTCCGGTCGCAACTAGATGGCTCCAGTTGATCAAATGAACTAGACCGACCTAACGACATCTCCGCATAAAACAAAGTACCGATGCAGTCCGGTCAGTCATTTGACCCTCCATTCACTTCCAACTCACAATCATATGTGAATAAAGTTTGCTCTAATTGATCTTAGGGCTACTTCGGAGCTACCTAGTGCTAGATTTGATAAGTGTGCACCACACCTAATCCTCTAAACTCACCTAGGTCAAGCTACTAGTCCATACCTCCCTTAATAGTACGGCTAAAGGAAAAACAAAGTCCTAAACTACTCTAAGTGTCTCTTCAACACCAAACGACACTCAGAACTAGTCCATCCTTAACCTTGTCATCCATCCTTTGAAAACCAAAACGATTTCTATCGTAGGGGCATGACAACCATGATTGCCCAATCAATTGCCATTACCATGACCTAACTTAAATTGCCTCTTCAAAACACACGTTAGTCATAGTAATCTCGTATTGTCATTAATCACCGAAACCCAACTAGAGGCCTAGATGCTTTCAATCTCCCCCTTTTTAGTGATTGATGACAATACAACCTCGAGTATGTAAGAGATGAGGTTTTCAACATGCTTGATTCATATAAGCTTTTGACAATAAGAGCAAAGGTGTTAGACATGCTTATATGACCCAAGCCAACATAGTGTACTCAATAGATATGAAATAAGCATGAGTACAAGAAACAAAGCTCATTTGAATCGAGTAAAACGCGGAAGCAAAGCAAATGAGCATAACCAAGTGACATGACATATATAAAGATCAAAGTAGAGAGCACACATGTTACATATCACATAAATATCACAATCACACATATATAGTTCAATGCATAAAAGTAAACGTGAATGCATAATGTATCACACATAAAAAGCCAAAAGTAATAAATCATAAGCCCCCTAGATATAACGCTCCCCCTATATCTAACATACTCAATCCCTCTCCCCCTTTGGCGTCAAGCACCAAAACCTAAGGGTCGGTCGGTGGGGCAGGAGCAAATAAGTCGGGCGCGGAGGTGCGATGAGCGATCTAAAACTATGTAGCATCATCCTCTAATCCGGAGCTCTAAGCTGTCTGACCCTCTATCGCTGGAAGTGAAGCTGAAGCGGTCTAGGTCTGCTCTATGACTAGCGCGGCCTGTGAGTCTGGAGGTATCACTGTCGGTGTTGGCTCTGATGATGCAGCAGATGATGAGAGCGTCTCTGTAGTCCCAGTAACTGGAGCAACTATAGAAGATGCAGGGACTCGCAACTCTGGTGGTGTAGGCTGCCCTATCAACTCACTGAAAGTAGCACCAAGGCTCCTCGAGACTGGGGTGTCAGATATTAGCACTAAGGAGCTCTGAGGCGGAGTGAAGCCCATAACAATAGGTGTGAAGGAAGGACCCTAGGCTATCACTGGCGAAGCAAACCACTGGGACACCTGCTCTGTAGGTGAAGCAAACTGAGTAGCTGGTTATCCCTGACTCTGAAGCCCACTGGGCTATACAGCTGGAGTCACTGTAGTGGTAACAGGCTGGCCGATCTAAGGTGTAAACTATGGTAGTGCAGACCCAATAGCAGTAACGACATGCTGCATAAAACGAAGTAACTGCTGCTGGATCAGGAGCTACTGCTGTTGCATGGCCTGCTGCTGCTGCTGTATGGCCTACTACTGTCTTTGGAACTCATCCTATCTAGCCTGAACCTATGCTAGTGCAGCTGCGGTCTCCTAGGCCTGGCGTGACTGATCCTACCTGATCCGCTCAAGAATAGCTAGAAGAGCGGGGTCTGTCTGTGGTGGCGGTGGAGCTGAGCTGGAGCCACTGGCCTCTCTGTCATGTGGTCGAGGAGGTATCTGAGGAATAGCCTAATAATCATCATCTGAGCTATCACTAGGATCACTCTCGACCATACCCTCCTACTATGCATCTAGCTGCTCCTCCTCTGTCGCTGCAATGCCCCTGATAATCTCATCCTGCTGGGCTGTAGTCTCTGGCACCTCTAGGCAATGGCTCGGCTGACTAGGTGTCCTAGCTCTGCTGTGATGGAGCATCTGGATCATGTTGTATGGAGGGAACTCAGTAGTAGCACCAGTATACTCTGCCATCGTCTCAAGAGACTTCACTGTAATTGCCTTGCAGATCAAAAATATGATCCAATGAGCATACGACAGCTGTTTGTGACCTCTAAACCCCTCTACAAGAGTGTCCTCCATCTCTGATAGTATGACATCCCAAATATCAAACATGGTCTGCTGCATCAGAGAGTTCACTAGCCATAACTGGACACGAGTCAATCCCTCGTGATAACCCATCCTCGAGAGCAGGGTCCTCCTCATGATAGCATCAAGTAGCCTAGCTATAGGAGTAAGGTCTCTAGGTGTCCTGCTCGACCCCTCATCAAATGGCTTTGTGAAGCAGGGTTGGACCAGGTCTGTGGGTGGCACAAGCCCACCGTGAGGGCATCTAGGAGGCTTTGTCTGACCATAGCAAACCTCATGTAGCTGAATGGGTGACTCTGGAATCCTGAGAATCTCTCTGGCCCTCGAGCTCTGTAGCCTGTAGTCATGACCTCTAAATGCGAAGTGTATGAATCTGTGCCCCGGGTCAATCCAAAGTGAAGAGTAGAACTCATGGACCCATGATGGAACATATCGGCCAGTCCATCCAAGTAGGTCTGTGAACCCTGGCAGATATGAGAGGTGAGGGCAGATCTGCTCTCCTCCTGCTGCTACAAGTGCCTCAATAGAACAAACTCTCTACGATCTGAAGGCCACTCCACTGTTTAGATATGCCTGATAGAAATCCTCCTGTAATGGTGTATAGAATCCCTCTGAAGCAACCTCATCCCGCCTCGGTGGAAACCAGTCCTCGAACTGCATGAACCTGAGCTACTACACCTGCTTGGCTATGGCTACCCTTAGGTCAAGGTGAGTCACTAGAGGTGGACCCTATGGTCTAGGAGGCGGACGAGAACCCCTCCTCTATGTCTCAGGCCTTGGTGTCACCTAGGTATGAGTACAACCAGAGCGTCAAAGCTATGGATGAGGTACCTGCTCTGTCTCCTCAGTCTACTCTACTTGCTCAGTCTGCTCAGCCTGCTGAGTATCCTCTGACTGCACTGGTGGCTGTGTCTGTTGCTATGG